CCCCATAGGATTTATTCTAGAATTTTAGAATTAAATTTTGATTAGTTTAATTAGGGTAGATGTAGGGTATCCTAATTAGGGTTTAGGTTGTGCTTAGGTGAAGAATTCACTTTCTTTGATAAGTTTTGTCTTGATTTTTAGGTAGAGGCCTATGTAGATGTTATGGGTAGATGTTGTAGACCCTTGTGAATAATTGTTAGATTTTTCCCCATTGGTTTAGTATTTTTAGGTATTTTCTGAAGTTGCCTGTTGATTTTGTCTGCCCTGTGGGTATCTGTTCATCTTTGGGGTTCATTGTGGGGAATTTGTTGTGGGGCTTGTGTGGCCTTGAAGACCTTGTTGGAGAGCATGATGAAGAGAAAATTGTAGACCAAGATTCAGAGACCCAGAGCTTGGCTTGTTCCCTGTCTGTGAGGTTTGAGATCCTGAAGTTTGAAGGAAGTTCATGGTACTTTCCTGAGGAAGGCACTATGAATGACTTTCATTCTTTCTTCTCACCTCTTTCTTAAGTATCCAGTGATGTTGGAGCCAACTTGTGAGTTGAATTTCTCCTGAGGAGGAATGTAAACTGATCACAGTTGTTGAGCCACATAGGATACAATTCCTAAGTGGAAGCCTCCTAGTACTTTCCTGAGGAAGGTCCTATGGGTCTATTCACTTAGTTCCATTAGTTTATCTAGGATTTCTCAAGTATCCAATGATGTTGGAGCCAACTTGTGAGTTTAATTTCTCCTGAGGAGGAATATAAACTGATCACAGTTGTTGAGCCACATAGGATACAACTCCTAAGTGGAAGCCTCCTAGTACTTTCCTGAGGAAGGTATTATGAGTCTATTCATTTAGCTCCACTAGTTCAGATAGGATTTCCTAAATATCCAGTGATGTTGGAGCCTGCTTGTGAGTTTAATTTCTCCTGAGGAGGAATATAAACTGATCACAGTTGTTGAGCCACATAGGGTATGACTCCTGAGTATACACCTCCTAGTGCTTTCCTGAGGAAGACACTATGAGTCTGCTTGCTTAGCTCCCTTTCTTTGGTAAGCTTGTTCTGAAGCTTGAAGACTGGGATTGATTTCTCTTGTTTAGGGTCTTGCTTTAGTGCTTAGATTTGTTCAGATTCTGTGATTGGGGTTAGGATTAGAGAGTGGATTCTTTCTTTCTCAAGCATGTGTGTTTTGTTTGCCTGTTGGCACTTCATTCCTTTTATCTGTTCATTGCTTGATAGTATGTTGTTTATCTTCAGTATGATTACTGTTATTTCATGACTGGCTTGAGGTCGAGACGAGCTTGTGGAGGCTGAAACCCCACACACATTTCCTCCCTCACTTGCATTGCATGCATTTTACTGTTAAAGCTGATGCTTTTGTCTGTTTTGGTGTATCATTGACATGATCCCTTAGGACTCTCATTTCCTTTGATAAGGATTTGACGATAGACTTTTAGGTTGAAACCTATGCATGATAACATCTAGGAGTCCCCTGTTCAAACCTCAACCATAGGATGAATCCATGGCATGATAACAGTAGGACTTGATAGTCTCCCTCCTAGTTGAGCCATTTTTTTCGTAGTTAGCCGAACTACGTTTGCTCTGATCTTTCATACCAGATGAAAGTACGTAGGCATAGGATGCGACATCCTAGCGAGCAACTTTCCCCATCTTCCCCCGTAGTTAGCCGAACTACGTTGACTCTGATTTCTCATTCTCTGATGAGAATACGTAGGCATAAAGTGTGACGCTTTGCCGAGTCATTTTTCTTTTCTTTTTCAGCCAGCCTTGATAGGTAGATAGATTATAACCAACCCGTCCAAGTAAACAAGCAAGCGAGGATCCCGTCGAGTACGACGGACGTGAGGGGTGCTAATACCTTCCCCTTGCGTAACCGACTCCCGAACCCAGACAATGGTTGCGATGACCTTGTCTTACCCTTTTTCGTCAGGTTTTTTCCGATCGTTTCCTTTCCCGCTCTGAGGGATAAATAACGAAAGGTGGCGACTCTTCTGTCATGCCGGCACCTTATTTTCGCGCAAGCGACACTTAGATATCAGTACATTGAGAAAGTGATGCTATAAATAAACTTACATATAGAAAGAGAAATAATTAATTATCAACAATATGTATAAGTGAAAAAATGAATGAAAGAAGGTGAATTTACCTTAAGTATAACATTGGATACAATGTGGAAAAGGACTTCTTTATCACATTTATCGTCATCATGAAGGTGGGTCAGATAAACTTTATCCAGGATGTGAGAATCATTCAGATCAAATGGGTTTGGAAGTTTAGTTCCATTGGACAGTGACATGATGATGAATTCAACTTTAACTTCTTTTGAATAAGCAATGAGTGCATTATGTTGTGAATTGGTTCTTCTACATATTTATAGCCTCCAGAGGTCATTAGAGTTTACACTTGGCCTAATTACTTTAGTATATAAAATTTTTGTTGGATAAAAAGATAAAATATACTAAGTAGCTTCTGATGGGGCCTTCTTTAGGCGTGAAATGTACCACTCTGATATGATTTTCCCAACATTCCCCTTATAGGCTTCATTAGGCATGTAAGAATGCTTAGGATACCACTGTCTTTTTCTTGGGATTTTACCATACTTTTGTAAAAGATAGTTTCATTCCACTGTTCTAAATTCTAATAGGAAAAAGGAAAATCAAATAGCTGAAAAACAATTGTTATTATATCCTCAAGGAAAGAACAATGATATATTCCTCAATGCTACTGATCAATAAAGATGCTTCATGTCAGAAATCTCAGTATGCCTTTAATCATGTTATGTTGGAGTTGATTGAATGAAACACCTTAAAACAATTCTCACAATAGTTCACCATGGTAATGAAAGAAGTATATGTCTATGCTTTAAATATTGGCTCAAGTTCTTATTTACAAAAATGTACCCACTTAAAAAATATTAAGTGCATATTTGAATTTTTTGAGTGTTGTAAGGTTACAGTTAGATATTTGTTTTAGAGAGTGCAGATGTTCAGTTCGTGGGGTACTTAAGAAAATAAATTATATATTATACAAATTTTAACTGTGTCATTATCTGGCGGTCGATGTTTTTGTTTCTATTTTAGTGTTTTTTCATATTATTTTCTCCTTTTAGTTGTAATTCACACTTTTTCCAACACGCACGCACATGCATGCACGCACACACGCAGAGGTAATCATATGATAATATTTATATATACAAAAAATTAAGTGATAACATTAGATTCATGTAAAACTTAATCTCGAAAGATATTGATGTATTCATACACCTTCTCAGTATTCAACAGTTAAAACTGTTATAAAAGTTTCTTACTCTCTTTGGCATCTTTCTTCTGTGCATGTTACCAATGGACATCCTTACTCAAGAACCCTGTTTCCTTCATACATGGAAAAGCAAAGAACCATTATTATTATTGTCTTTTCGGCTGTCATAAAGTTCTTTAGATAGAGGGCTGTATTGAAAGAATGGTTCCATAACTGTATTCATCTTATGGATGGTCATTTTTCTACTAAAATTTGGGGTGTTTTAGTAATACATCTTGCAATTTCCTTCTAATCTTTAGAGTCGATGTCTTGTATATGGATTGAGTATCTATTTCTTTTTAAAAAAATAAAAAGATAGTATGGCTAGGGACCAGGGCTAGGAATTATGGCACCTAAGGATAAAAAACCAGGATAGGTGATATAGTATTATTATGAAATTTTGTTTTGGATCTAAATCACCTGCAACTATTACACAATGCAGCGATATGTAGAGCTTTCTTTCTTTAGAGTAGAGGTAACTCTAGTAAGCGACGGTATAGGCCGTTGCATGTTGCAATGGTTGTAGAGGACTTCTTGTAGTGGAAAATCATGTTTATTGGCTTATAGCGATTTTTTTACAGTATATGTTGTGTGAGGGATTAGAACATGTTTTCTTCTCTTTTCAAAAGCTAATGTGCATATTCAATAAAGAACTTTCTCGTTTTATATTTTAAGATTATTATCATGAGACGATGATAATCCATCAAATCTGCACTTGAACATCTGATCTCTAGCAATATACCTAGATATTCCTAATGACTTTGATAAGTGAGCATGCCATAAATTCTTAAGTTGTTTATATAATTTTTTTTAATGAAGTTGTTTATACACATATTCATTTGTTTATTTGATTTTTGTATAAAATTTTATAATTATAATCTTTGTATAAAGTATGTCTGTTATGTGATTAATTTTAAATTATAGTTTGGAAATCACAGCGGATGAAGAAATTAATAAGGTACAAAACACAACATTTCTCCCGCCAGAGCTTGCCAAGATCGACAAATCAAGTGTCTTCTCCGACAATCAACATGGTGTTAAATCTGTATTTCAGGTCTGTTGTGACATGTAGAAGAGGTTAAGTTTGATGGCGAGTTAATTATTAATTCATGATTTATTGAGCTAAAAATTGTGTGCTTACTAAATTAGTATAAATTATGAAACCATACTCTTGAATATTGATGTCTGTTTTCTAATACTAATAATCAGCATACTTTCATTGAAATAATATTTCCCTGTTGTCTCTCAGTTTATGAGTTGATCACTCTAGTATTAATTATTTTCTTTTTCGACATATCTATCTTTCCACTTTCACATCATTTTTGTTGTGAATGATAACAATTCATACTGGTATACTTTCAAAGAGTAGTTCCGTTGATGAGTTCAAACACACCGAACAAGTACTAACCAATAGTTCACAAGTTCAAACCAAAAAACTAATATAATCCACTAAGATATGTTTATAAAAAGCAAAAGTATCAAAACACATAGGTGTAAGCACAACAAATTTCATTCAATCAAAAGAAATTCAAGAACATACAGGCGAATTAAGTAACACAACATTCCAAAACACACAAACATGTGCATATCAAAACAAAACAAACTAAGCTTGAAATGAAACTTCAAACTAGATGCTCATAAAGCAAATCAAACGATTTGGATCATAGTCAGATCCTTAATTCTTCCTTCACATCAATCAAATGCAGCAACTGTTTGGATCATCACGATGGCAACACTTGTAATTAACAGAAGTCACCTCCATCACACGTCTACAAGTAGGATTAGGACAAGTTATAGTAGCAAGAACATCTGAAGAATTAACAGCACAAGAGGCACTAGAAGATATCTCTTTCAGCTTAGTATTATAATACTCTTTGAAAGCGATGTCAAAGCTCTCTTTCTCAACCACATTGTCTTTCCACTTCTCAAAATCAGCCACAGTTTGATACATAGGTTCACCATGACCCAAAAGCGTAACGTGATAACCTTTACTAAGAAGAACCCATCCTAGCGGGTCTTGCTTGAGACATAGTAAGCTTTTTACTGTCTCTTGTATTTCGCAGTCTACTCTGTCATGACATATTTTGTTCTGTTTTCTTCCGTCTATGCCAATCCAAAAGTAAGGAATCTTTGCTGGGTTTTGTTTTCCTAATTGGTAGTAATCAATGTTAATGTCCACATTCTTGATGCTTTGATTTTTTTGAATGTTTCCTATTGCTCTTGTGAAGTCTTGTATCCACTTAGGGTCGTTTCCGCCATAGATAAATATGTAACTATCCCTTTTCATGTCCTCTATGTTGATATCAACTTTCTTCATTAAATTCCAAAACCAAGCCCATTTCTTAAAGAGATCATCACCATCAATTTTCCTAAAAGGAAAAGCGTCAAATCCCCATTGAAAAATGATTTCCATTGCATTCTCATTCATTATTTCACCTTGAGGATTGATCACTGACACAATAGGTTTATTATCCACATAATTCAATCTGCTCTTGATAATCCCAAGTCCCGGTAGCTCAGAGAAATGTTCCAACACATACCTGCAAAAATAATACTATGAATAAAAAGATGCAAAATTAGACAAGAACCGAAATTCATGTAAAAATCAGGTGATCTAACAGATACCATTTCATGCTTTCCTTCAAGTTTCTGAACTGATTCTTGGCAACTTCATCCCACATATCAACAATGGGAATCCAAAAAATCTTGAAATCCTCTTTCTTGAAACCTTTTATCACTTCTTGCGGATTATCCTGCAATCTGTTATAGACTGAATTTAACAGCAAAATCTCATCTCCAATGCTGTCTAGACCCGAAATGAACAGCAACACATAGTTCTTCTTGAAGACTTCAAGACCCTGTTTGGTAAAATTTTAAAAAGAAAATTAAACATAATCATTTAGTAATGTATGTATGTATTTATATGTTCTAGAAGGTGGTGAGTTATTTAACAAAAATTGAAACATTTATAGGAAGTACATTTTACTAAAATACATTGTAAAATAAATAAATAAAAATCATTTTAGCGCTGACCGTTTTAACTTGGATGTTGCCTTTATATATTAGTGGTATTTGATCAGAACCATTGCCTTGTATCAGAAGCCTCAAGAAACCAACAACACCTTTAATATTTTCCGACTCTTTCAAACGTCTATAATAATCGTCTATCCTCTCTGTAAAAGTAGTTGGAGATAATATCATTGGACTAGTTATTTAGATAACGCACAATCAATTATTATTAAACCTTAATTAACTGATAATTGGTTTGTTAAGTCAGAGGTTGTCTTTAGTTGTTTAGCTATTTAATTTTGTACCAATTTGCACTTTGGAATTTTCGAGATGATTCTTCAATCTCATAATCACACCAGAAAGCCTTTTTCTATAATCCGATAATATATGCTCCCTGAAAGCAAAAAAGTTATCATTTACACACTGTTGGAAATTCAACATTTTACTGTTATTTAAAAAGTCGATAACTTACGATATACCGACAAGGTTGCCGGAGCAAGCAACAACGGTAGCAACAGTCCAATACACAACAAGAGGAATCTCTTGCATTGCGTCAGACAATGAATGGACTTCCTCTAAATCATAACCCATAGCAGACCATGTTGCCCATTGTATAATGTGTTGGAACACTTGCAGTAAAAACACGACAATGTCTGTGATATCAGAAGGAACCTTTCTGAATTGGACTTGGTTAAGCTGTTTCAATGAGTTTCCTAATGTGTCTGATGATTGAATCCTATAAAGGTGCATGAATTCACCATACTCCAAAGTGAATGCAGCTAGAGTTATCAATGCTTTTGCATCCCATGAAAAGCCTCTGAGATGCTGAAGAATCCACATTGTTGTTTGGTGTGCACATTGTGCCGTGCCACGTGTCATTATCATCTGATACATGCCATCATCAGCAATCCGATTTAAAAGAATAAAGAAGCAATATACAGAAACGAGGAACATAATTGATAAACCTGACAAGAAATCCTCTTCAAGGCAGGGAAGTCTGGTTTGAAAGAAATCTGAGTCTGAAAACAAAAAATTTAAAATGTTAGTTCAGTTGTACAATGTTTAATATGAAGTAGCAAAACTTAATGACATGTTAATTAATTACGTTTAATACATGATTAGTTGCAGAAATTTGAGCAGAAGAAGCAGAGATGATGGTGGAGACAAGGTTGAAAAGCAGATCCTTATCATATTTCTCATCATCATTGACATGAGTGAGATAAACTTTGTTGAGAATATGATAGTCGTCAAGTTCAAAAGGGTTAGGGAGCTGAGATTTCTGTTGTTGTTGGGAGGTACCATTCTGTTGGATCTTACCACCATTTGGTGCAACATAGGACAATGCAACGGACATGATGATTATTTGTGTCTAAGTTAACAAATAGTAATTAGCAAATTAATTATCACACCTTGTTTAATTTGTGTTAAGGCACTTCCCCCTATTTATACATGGCATGATATAATAGACAAATAGACAAATATTTTTTAAAGTAAAAGTAAAAGAATAAAAATAAAATAAGGTAGCTTCTTCGTGAGTGGTCTCTAAACGTGAAACATGATGATACGATGTGGTCTTCACAATATACCCTTGCATGACAGTGTTTGTTTGTTTGTGAGATTAGCTTTATGTAAGGGGTTGCATTGTCATTTTATTGAAACTGTTTTAACAAAATATTCTCTTTTCTATTTTTGTCTTCATTACGACAAAAGACAAACTTCTGCGAGTGTGTCTATTAATTTGAGTATCACTAACTTTTGCTTTTGAACTAGATAGATAGTGGCATGCTATGAGGAAAGAAAAAGAAAAATGAATAAATATTGTACCGTTTTTTTTCTTTAGTAAGTCTCAATGATGATAAATAAAGAACGAGTTTATTTATAAATAATAAAAAAAAAATTTATTATAACAACAACAACAACAAAAAATTATTTACAATTTTACTTTTTTTTATTAATAAAAAACCATTTTTAAAAAAAATCTATGTACATATGAATTATATATAGGTTTGATTTCATAGTTTAATATTCAAGTGATTTTGAATGTGTATAATTGATTTTGACATGTTTTATTGTTCTTAAATATAATTAATTAAGTTTTTTTAGAATTGATTATACTTGAAACTATAATTTGTAACTTTTGAGTTAGAGAGATAAGATTGTGGAGTAAGGGATTACTTAAGAATGTGCCAAGATATATTATGATAGTTAAAGTGTCATTCATTTGACCAATCATCAAGTGTATTATGATGAGACAAAGCATGACATTTATTTGCAATTCATAAGAAATATGATCGAGTCACTTCATAAGAAATATGATCGAGTCGAAGAAAATTATGATTCAAAATGAAGAGAATGTAACCGATATGTTCACCAAACCTCTATACAAATCAAGGTTCAAACATAACATGGATTTAATCAAGTTTATTGAAAAGTGATTTGAGAGAGAGAGAGAGAGAGAGAGAGAGAGAGAGAGAGAGAGAGAGAGAGAGAGAGAGAGAGAGAGAGAGAGAGAGAGAGAGAGAGAGAGAGAGAGAGAGAGAGAGAGAGAGAGAGAGAGAGAGAGAGAGAGAGAGAGAGAGAGAGAGAGAGAGAGAGAGAGAGAGAGAGAGAGAGAGAGAGAGAGAGAGAGAGAGAGAGAGAGAGAGAGAGAGAGAGAGAGAGAGAGAGAGAGATTTCGGTTTCTAAACACCCTTGTATGTGATATTTCATACATTGAGAGATTTTTCGGTTTCTAAACACTCTATGTATGTGATATTTCATATATTGAAATAGGAGAGATTCAGAAACTTTATAGAATATTTTTTTATAATTCATCTTGTAATAACAAATTTTGAACGTTAGTGGATTAAGAGCTGCTCTTTTCCTATAATAGTAGTTTGATCTATAGGTGTAAATAAATTGTATATATTCATTCTGCTTACCACTCTTCCGATATATATGTTTTTTTTTCTTCTTCTTCTTGAAGTTTTACTTATACTCTTTAACAATTTTTTTTTATTTGAAGCTATTCATTTTGGTTAGCACACTTCTATGTCTCACACATATATTTTCTCGGAATTCATGGAACCTTTTAATTTCAAAAGAAAAAGTACAAATCCAATACTTTGCCACTCCAAATGACTAACCTAGTGCTACAATAGTAAGTAGTAACAAATAACAACAACATAACTGATAGAAAGATAAAGACTTTAACAAACACACATTAATTTTATTCATCATGAACTTCAATATCAAACATGATATATATTGAAGCCACTATTATTCTCACCCTTTTAAAGGGTTAATACATAACATCACACACAACATTTTTAGTTTAGACAGACACATGCTGTCATCAAACAAAAACAAAACAGAAGTTGAAAAAACACAACAACAACAACAAACTAACTCAAAACAACCACTTCTCCCATGCATCAAACCCCAAAATTATTTGGTTCATCACGATGACAGCACTTGTAATGAACAGATGTAACTTCCATAACACGTCCACACATAGGATTTGGGCATGATATAGTAGCTATAACATTTGAACTAGATGTATCAACATTAACAACTTCACATGGTTGACGACCAGATAGCTCTTTAGCCTTCACCTCATAATACTCTTTGAATGCAATATCAAACCCTTCCTTCTCCAACAGTTTATCTTTCCAGTTCTGAAACTCAGCCAATGTTTGATAAGCCGGTTCGCCATGACCCAGAAGCTTAATGTTCTGTCCTTTGCTTAGAATGATCCATCCTTGTGGGTCCCTTTTCAGACAAAACAAGCTTTTCACAATGTCTTGAATCTCACAGTCCACAGCTTCTTGATGCTTCTTGTTTTGTTTCTTCCTTTCTACACCAATCCAGAAACTAGGAACACGGTTAGGGTCGTCTTTGCCCAATTGATAATTCTCTATTATAACATCTGCGCGTTTCAGAGTCTCGTGCCTTTTGATCTTTTCTAGCTCAAGTGTGAAATCTTGAATCCATTTGCTGTTGGTACCACCATAGATAAAGATGTATCTGTCCCTTTTCACCTGAATAACCACACAATAAAGCGAGAAAATTTCATAAGTGTCAGCAGATTTGAATTGACTTATTTGAACTTAATTACCGAGAGATATTCGAATTATTACCTGTAGTCCAGGAGTTGCTTTTTTGATTACATCCCAAAGCCATTTCCACTTAAAAGTAAGGTCAATACCATCACTTTTCCTAAATGGGAATGCATCTATCCCCCATTGGAAAATCAAGTCCATAGCATCTATATTTGCCATTAATCCATGAGGGTTGAACACCGGGATAATAGGATTACCAATGTACCCTATTCTTTCTGGATCGGTTATTATCCTGTGGCCTGGTAACTCATAGAAATACTCCACTGCATACCATTTGATTCCACTCTTCAATGCTCTGAAACGTTCCCTGCGGATATCGTCCCAATTGTTCACAACGGGGATCCACAAAATTTTGAAGTCTTCTTTCTTGAAACCTTTTATTGATTCTTTTGAGTTTTCTTGCAATCTTTCATAGATTGAATTCAAAAGTGAAATCTCATCTTCAATGCTATCAAGACTCGAAATGAACACCAACACATGTTTGTTCCTAAAAATTTCAAGACCCTGTTTGGAACATAAATGAACAAACAAACACATAGTCACTAAATCTCTTTCAATTGACTTGAAGTAGTACTAATGATTATTCTGCAACAGTCTCTGAGAAAATTTGATCTTTGTCTCATATATTTCAAAACTAACCGTTTTAACATGAATGGCGCCTTCGAAGATCTGAGGACTATCAGTTCCATCACGGTGGATCAAAGCTTTCAAAAGATCAACAATATCTTTGGGCTTATCAAAGATCTTCCTGCGGTTAAATAAATCGTCTACGTAGCCTGCAACGAAAGAAAATAAGCTCTTATTATAGCATAATTGAGTCCAAATCTCATAGGATAAAGAAAGATGAAAAAGCTAAAAGATTACTAACTTATTTGCAGCTGGCAATCGTTCAAATGCACAACCAATTTCTGAACAATGCCAGAAAGCCTCTCTCTATATTCTGATAACTTATAGTCTCTAAAAAAGAAAGATAAGTAATAGCGTTAGATAATAATATTACATATGAAATTGAATGGTGCAATAGTATTAGTAACTGCGACCGCAATTGCAATCTAAAACCATAAGAACTTACGAGACACCGACAAGGTTGCCAGTAGAAGCAACAATGGAAGCAATAGTCCAATAAACAAAGACAGGAATCTCTTGCAAGGCTTCAGTCAAAGCAGGAACATCCTCTGGATCATAGCCTTCTGCAGACCATGTTGCCCACTCTTTTAGGTGCAGCAACTTATGCACTATGAATGAGACCAATTCAGTTATATCAGTTGAGATTTTTCTGGTTTGAATTTGATTCAGTTGTCTCAACGAGTTTCCAATTGGGTCTGTTGCTGTGACTCTAGTAAGGTGCAAATAGTTTCCATACTCCAAAGTGAATGCAGCTAGAGTTATAAGTGCTTTTGCATCCCAAGAGTAGGATCTCAGGTTTTGAAGAATCCACAGTGTTGTTTGGTGAACACAGTGTGCAGCACTACGTGTAGTTATCATCTGTTGTTTGTTATATGAACTATATTAGCAACTTATAATCATTTGTTTAAATATTAGTCAACTATATAGCTTAGAATTAGATATAAAGTAGAAATTAATAAACCTGACAAGAAATGAGCTTCAGTGTAGGAAAATCTGGTTTGAAACTGGTAACAGGAATCTGTGTATTAGTCTGTAAAACAATTTAAAAATAAGTTAATTGTGCTTTTTAAAAAAACTAGTATTGTCTTTACTAAGGTATATGAGTTTATTGACATAAATTTAACATTAAAATAGTAATAAAGTGAATGTGTATAAGTCTGCAAATTCTAGCTCTAGCTCTGATACTCACGGTTGTGTGTGAGTTTCAGGTGGTTGGTTATTACGACTTTGTTTAAAAGAAAGTGAATGCATATAAATAACCTGAAGTACAAGAGTGGAGACAAGGTCGAAAATGATATCAGTATCACAAAACTGATCATCTGTGACATGGGTGAGATAGACTTTGTCCAATATTTGAGAATCGTGAAGTTCAAATGGGTTTGGCAAGTAATTATTAGCTTTGTGGTGTGAATGTGGAAAAGTGGCACTCTTTTGGATCAAACTGTTATTATTAGTGGCAGTGGCACCACCATGTTGAACCAAAGTGCCAGTTGCAGCAGCAGGTGAGTTAGAAAAGGACATGATGACTCAAATCTCAGAGATGTTTAGTTTATGAATGGTTGATTGGGTTGATTGGTTGGTGCATTTGCATAACTTATTTATAGGCTAGAATGCATGAGAGTTTAGA